ACATTGAATCTTTGTTTGTCTGAAGATCTGAAACTTTACCTTAAAATCTGAGTGAGTACCTGTTGTTCTGTCTTTCCTGAATCTTTAGCGATTCTTTTTCTTCTCTCTGGAGATTCTGCTAGTAACTCTGGTTTCTCCCTTTCCTCTGGCCAAAACAATCAAACAAGAATAAGACGAGCAATTCGAGTAATTGATCGAGATTATGAAATGTTAAATTGTTAAAAAGAGAGAAAAACCGGGGGTCATTGCTTCGATCATTGCTTCCATGATTATAAGACTCTTTTCCGCTTCTCGGATTTGTGCTGGACTCACTTTCCCCATTCCAGGAATCATTCCAAGAACACGTGTCATCGAACCCATTTTCGCAACAGCACGAGTCTGCTTTAGGAAATCGTTGAAGTCGAACTTTGCACTCATTATCTTCTTCTGTAGATCTTCAGCATCTTCTTGACGCATCTACAAAGACCGATGAAAAGACATCAGCAAGAGAGAGCGAAAGAGAAAGAAAGAAAAAGTTTGATTGTAACTTTACTGAAAACTTACGACTTCTTGTGCCTTCTCTACAAATGAAAGCACATCTCCCATTCCTAGAATTCTTCCAGCCATTCGATCCGGATAAAAGGGTTCAAGATCCTCCATTCGCTCTCCACGTCCTACCAGTTTAATCGGTTTTCCAGAGACCTAGTGACACCCATTTTAAGAGTAAACTATCAATGCTAAGCGTAAAGTAAGTACCTTCCTATGATATAATCAATCGAGGAAAAAGAACGCAAACCTCCTTCACACTCAAAGCAGCACCACCTCTTGAATCACCGTCTAGCTTAGTCAAAATGGCTCCTGTGATTCCTATCTCTACGTTGAATGTTGTCACCAATGCTGTGGGAAAATATACCAAAGTTAAAGGCTTTATACATCCGAGCCTCAAAAATCAAGAAAACATAGAGAATCGAAACAGAGTACCTGCAGCTTCTTGTCCGGTCATGGCATCAACAACAAGCAACACTTCTGTGGGATTCAGAAATTTCTTCACGTCTTTTAATTCATCCATCATCCCTTTATCTATCTGTCACAAAGATGCAATTTAATGACTAAAAGCTGCAACAGATTTGTGATACAATGACTCTCTTTTTCGTAGACGAAAGATTACCTGAAGCCTCCCTGCGGTATCCATAATAACTACATCGATATTATTCTTTTTAGCTTCTTTTAGACCTTGCTTAGCTATATCTGCAGGTTTTACATCAGTCCCAGCTGTATAAACCGGGACACTAACCTGACACAAAGAGAGCATCATATTTGTTTACGGAATAGAAATATCATCAGATATTCATACTCGCGTTCTTCTAAGCCAGTTCTACGAGTACACACAAAGATTCAAAAGTCTGAATTTCAATACCTGTTCACCTAAAATGACAAGTTGATCGATGGCTGCAGGTCGGTACACATCTCCAGCAATAAGCATGCAAGATTTTCCCTGCAAAGATTTATTAATATTATAAATGTTACAGCTCAATTAACAATCCCATCAAAATCACCATCGTAATATCAAAAAGCATACCTGCTTCTTTAGGTAAAAAGCGAGCTTAGCGCAAACCGTTGTCTTCCCCACTCCTTGGAGTCCAGCCAACAATATTACAGTAGGACCTGACTTAGAAAACTGTAGCTCAGATACTTCTCCACCCATCAATTTCACTAGCTCATCATGTACAATCTGCAATAAATCCATGAGGGCCAAGCTTTAAATGCTACTGAAATACTCACAGATCGGACACAAGCTTAGGAACCGGTTCATTGCTAAATTACCTTGACCAACTGCTGATCTGGTTTAACACCTCGAATGACACCTGTTCCAACGGCTTGGTCACTAACAGACTGAACAAACCTTCTAACAACTGGGAGACTCACCTGATAACAAAACCGCCAAGCGACTAAAATCACTATTATACCGCCTTCTCTACAAGAACCACCCTAATGAAAACAGAACAAACACTACTCACATCTGCTTCAAGGAGAGCTCTTCTAATATCCCGCATTGGCTCAGCTATATTCTCCTTCGTCAAAACCTCTGCAAATTCAAATAACAGTAACAAGCTTTAAACCGTATACTCATACTTTCTACATCTGATAGTGGCAAGATTACACTGCCCTTAACTATAAATTGATCACTTCATTCAAAAATCAAGAAAAGTAAAATCTCTCTAATCCATTCCTCGTTCCAAGAGTATAATAAGTCTACCAAAAGATACATATTCTCACTTTTTGGTCAAGATTCAAGTTTCTACTTTCTGGGTCTGAGCCAAAACTAACAAAAGCTAATAGCTTTGACATTTACAAGAAATAAAGCTCGAACCTTCTCCTTTGAGTTTGCTCCAAGCAGACTCAAGTCCACTAGTCAATTGACCAAACATCTCTGCCCTCACTTGGCTCCTTCTGTATCTTCCATGGCTAACTGTCTTTGATTTCACCCAACTCCATATCTCCCTCTGATTCAACACAAACAACAGTAAAGGACCAAACACTACAATCCAAAGTTAGATTAAAAACGAAAAAATAACAACTTTGAAGCCAAACCGTAGAGGGATTCTTAGAAGAGAGAGAAGCTGAATTGCTTGTTCCGGTGAATGGAGAACGAAATGCAGTCTTACTTCTCCGATTAACTGTACAATTATGAGTACACGTAACTCTATTCACTGAGAAACGGCTTGAAAATTGCAGAGCCTCCATAAGTAGAGGAGTGATCGAAAGCTCAAAACTTTTCTAAACACTGCAAAATCTCAAATTTTATCTTCTTTGTTGCAAAGATGAAAACTTTTTTAGATGGTTCCATTTTATCCGTTTCAATGACGTGGTCAAGTAATAGCCGTCGATGCGTGTTCTCTTCAATACGGCACCGGTTTCATAGTTTGAACAAAAAAGAATCACATTGATAAAAAAAAGATGCTTCCAATCCCTCAAGAACATAAAAATGAACAAAATCAGACACCAAAACCAAAAGAAAAAAGAGAAAAAACAGAGAAAGTGTTCAAAGATTTAACAATAATGTTGATTTGTTGTGTTTGTGGTCAGAGACGATTTCTTAGAACTAGTTTCATCAACAAATGAAGACCAAAGAGAGACTTTATCGCCATCTTTCTTGTAGTTATCAAACAAAGAATCCATAAGCCCTACACGTTGCCTCGGTGTGCTCAATGATCTCATCTTCTCCCTTGCACACTCTCTCCAACCATTAGAGGTTTGAAACCAGCTCTCATCCTCCAATAAACTCTGTTCCAAACGGCTAAAAGATCTCCTTGGGAAAGAAAATGGAGACTCTTGTCCATCACCAGAGTCTTGTTGTCTTTGCAAAGTTCTAAGCTTTACTTTTGTTGGTACAAGCATTTCACTTGGAAACAGAATTGAGTTTATGGATTTTGCAGACTTGGATTCACCCCAATGTTCTAGTCTACCACTTCTCATTCCCATATCTTTAGTGTACAATGACTCAAGAAGCATGTGAGGACTTCTTCTCTCCTGCAAAAACAAGTGTGTGAGAGACTCCAAACCGAAAAAGACTGACCGTTTGTATAAAGATCTCTCTCTCTCGAGGGAGAGAGAATTTACCCGATGAGACCGCGAGTATTTCAACATACGGTCACGCTTGATCACACCTTTTTGCTTCCTCAACCATATTTCTTTGATATCTTCCTTTGTGAGAGCACTACTGTCCCAACCATTGCATTCGATCTTCGAGTTACATTTTGAATGTTTTGATACCTTGATCTCTTCTTTGGTCTTGGACCAATGTTTTCTCTCTGTGTTTCTTTGGATGAGGCTTGATGTTGAAGCTTTGTTGGAAGATGAAGACTTCAATAAAGAAGACACCTTTCGTCTAACAGCTCGGCCGCGCACAATTGCTTGAAGCCTTACGAGTGCTTTCAGCGCCCGTAACGCTTTCCTCGCCTGTTTGTAAATCAATCACAAAGATCAAAACATTGCAAGAAAATAGTTTCAACAGTAATTAGAGTGTGTCTAACCAAATAAGCCCTGAATGCACTCTGAATCTTGATAGCAGCCATTTTGGAATCGCGCTTCTTGACAAAATGTTGAGATGTGAAGGCGTTTCCCGCCATCCGAACAACTTCAGCAGCTGCTTTGGCAGCTGCAACCGCGGCTTCAGCTGCTGCAGCCGTGGCAATAGCTACGTTCATTGCATGTTTTCTCTGATCCTCTGTTGCTTCATTCAAAGTCCTTGTCTCTTGGACCGTAGTTGTAATCTGATGTCTTAGCTTCAACCTTCTAAACACCCATCTTAATCTCCTTGGCTTCTACAAAAACACAATCATATTTTCAGATTCAGAAACATGACAAATCAATCATCTTTGGTATTAAGAGAAAAGGAAACAAAACCTTCTCTGGTTTTGCTTTCGCCTCGCAGATGAATAGTCGTTTCATCCAACCGAACCACGACCTTCTCTTCGCCATTAAATGGAGTTAGTTCCCTGATAACAAATGATCAAGCTCTCTTATTGATTTGATCAAGAAAACAGAACAACAAAATCTAGACCCATTTCATCTTTCAACTTGATGATTAGACCTATCAATAGAACAAACAATAATGTAAACAACCAACACATTGTCTAATAGATAACATCATTACACAATCTTCTCTTTTACCTGTGAACAACAAAACCAAATGATTTGGTGGATCAAATGTGAAATCAGATTCTGTGGAAGATTGAAATGTTAGTGATGATGTGAAGATTCAGACACTTATGAAGAGGGATGAGTTCAAGTGATGTCTAAATATAGGATCATATCTCTCTCTCTTTTACCAACTGTCACTTTCATTATCAATGATTATTGACTTGTTCAAACCCCTTCTAAGTTCCTAAACTCTTTTTTTTCTTCTTCTTTTGATTCTTAACCAATCACTTAAATTAAATTTATAAATTAATACTTTCAGAATAAATTATCCAATTTCTAAATTCCTTTATTCTTTCTTTTTTTGTCACTTTTGGCTTGTGATAAAAGAACATGTGGCTTGTCAACGTATCTAATTATCTATGGTTACATAAATTTTAAGCAATATTTATGTAAAGATGTAAAAGTAGATCATGTCATATTTTAATGTTAAAACTGTTATGATATCGAATGTAAAATATAGAACAATGGTTCTTGAAATATTATTGCTTGAAAAGAGAAGAAAATAATGACGACAATGAGTGATAGTACAGTTTAATCATTAATAGAGAAAGAAAAAATAATTATAAAGAACTTTCTTTTCTTTTTTTAAATAATCATAAAGAACTTTCTTTTTCTTCTAAAAAAAAAATTATAAAGAACTTTTTTTTTTAACATCAAAATTATAAAGAACTTTGTTGATTTTAAACCAAAATCTATTTTGGGTTTTTGATTTTTTTGCTTCTGGGAATAATTGTTGAGAATGTGAAACATGTACCAATTCAGGTATTGATATTTTTGGACGATGAATGTTTATATATATATA